CGATGGACAACAATGTGGAAGTGTAAGCCAAATAAACCCTTTCTAAACCATGCATCTTTCGGTCATGTTGTTTCATCATAGTAATACTGACCCAACTAAGACATTGTTCAAAAGTCCAAGTCCAAATTCTCTCCCTAGAATAAAGGCTCCTGTAAACAAGTTACATACCTCCAAGATACAACGGTGAGGCAGGTCCAAGTTAAACATTTCCACACCCGACAGGAAGAATGCTTTGTCCCAAGGAAAGCCCGAGGTGCATCAGGCAACTGCTAAATCCTCTGGATGTGGCACCATGTGTATACCAGGGTGGAAGTAGCCCTAGGCTACCCTCCCTACACAGTGTGACCAGTTGCAGTCTATGTGGGGCCATGGCTGGCATCACACACATTAATGTTGGCCCTACTTTTCTGGGATCTTAGCTGCGCCCCTACTCTGCGGCGTTGATGCCATCTAGGGGTTCAGGAACAGGTTAATTTCCTCTGACAATCAAAGAACTAAAAGGCAGGGGTGAGGCCTGGAGAAATGACTTAGTTGTTAAGGGCACTGCCTGCCAGAGGAACCAGGTTCAATTCCTGGCACCCATATGGTGGCTCACTACTATTTATAACTCCAGTCCCAGGGCATCCGAGGGCACCAGGCACACACATGCAGGCAGAACACTCATACACATAAATAATTTTTTTTTTTTTTTTTTTTTTTGGATTTTCGAGACAGGGTTTCTCTGTGTAGCTTTGCGCCTTTCCTGGAACTCACTTGGTAGCCCAGGCTGGCCTCGAACTCACAGAGATCCGCCTGCCTCTGCCTCCCGAGTGCTGGGATTAAAGGCGTGCGCCACCACCGCCCGGCTACACATAAATAATTTTAAAAAGAATTAAAAGCCTGGAAAGATGTGTTACTGGAAATATCGAGTCTTAGGAGAGCCATCATACGGTACCTGGGAAATCAGTGTACCCTGTTGAAGTTCTTATTTTTATTAATAAAAGAAGCTGAGAACTAACACAAACAGAGGCTCAAAGACAAAGGATGGCCTCAAACAGAAGCTCAAGGACAATTCATTAGTTTCAAAGGATTTCTTAAGGCAGGCAAGGTGTAATTTTCAGTGTCCTGGTGAATGAAAATGACGACGATGTGACTGTTCCAAGGTATGGTTGAGGGGAAGGATTTTATTGTAGATAGAGGAAGAGTACAGCCAGAGGCATCTGAAGGTTCCAGAGTGGGGGGGGGGGACACACGACACGACGGGACACTGAATATGTGTGAAGCAGACTGAACCAGGCCATGAGAAGGGCATGGTGAGGGTGGGGTGGTAAGAGGGAAAGACACTAGAAAGGGACAAGAGAGAGGACCAAGAGAGATGGTTGAAGAGATGGTTTTTACTGTATATATGAGGGGGAGTACAGCCAGAGACATCTGGAAGGGGCCAGAGCAGGGAGAGGAGTAGTAGGCTAGTCATGATCAGTGACTGAACCTGGCCATGAGAAGGGCATGGTGGGGGTGGGGTGGGGAGTAAGAGAAAAGAGAGGGACAAGAGAGAGGACCAGGAGCCAAGAGCAGACAACCAAGAGAGTGCATGGCCAAAATGGCAGGTTTTTATAGGACAGAGAACTGGGGAAGGGAAGGGAAGCTCCTGGGCTGGAGAGGTTTAGGGTAGGGGGCAGGGGTGAGGAGCAGGCAGAAGCCAGGATGCTAACACTGGGGACTCTGTAACAGGTACATGGGATGCTGAGACAGCGTGAGGCTAGCATGCACTTTGTATGCTAATAGGCACCACAGTTAGCCATTTGTCCTGAGTTTCTTTGGGACCTGAGACCAGGGAGGAAGGAGAGTAGCGAAGAGCCATGCTACTTGGGATAAGGCAGCTTGGAGGGCAGCCACCTGGCATCAAGCAGCCACATGATGGAAAGCGATGCTGAGCTTGGTCTCCACTGTCCTGATGTACACCTCTTGGTGTGCCTTTTACCCATGTTTATCTCTGTTCTTTTCTTGCGTAGACTTAGAAATTTCCTTCTCTTTCCAAATCCCTTAAAAAATTCTCTTATCTTTCAGTCTTGGAGAAACCAATTAAAAACAACCAAGCCATGGCTTGAACACCCTTCAGAAACACTTCTGCAGTGTGCCATCCCATCCAGGCTTCCATAAGGTCCCAGGGCACCATCTCAAGGCAGCCTTGTTCTTTACAGTGAGGGGACAAGAGCGAGTCCATTCCACCCTCCTAGAGAATATTCCCTCCCTCCCTCCCTCCCTCCCTCCTACTTGCCTGCCCCCACTCCCTTCCTTTCCTCTGTGTACAGTTTTTTTGTTGTTGTTGTTGTTGTTTTGGTTTGGATTTTTTTGAATAAAAATTAGGGCCATGATTGTAATCCCAGCATTTGGGAGGCAAAGCCAGGTGAATCTTTGTGAGCTGGAGGCCAGCTTGGTCTACAGAGCGAGTTCCAGGACAGCCAGGGCTACACAGAGAAACCCTGTCCTGAAAAAAACAAAAAATAAAACAAAAAAGTAAAATTAGACAAAAATATTTATTATAAAGTCAGTGCATTTTTACTTAAGGATTTCACTTGCAGTTCCTTCACTGTGTTGGGCACAGGCAAAAGCACCTTGCCCTAAGTACTGCTGTTGTGACTTCAGATTCCATTTTACCCGCAGGATGAAACAAAGCTCAAGTTCCCAAGCTCTTGGGGAGCCAGGGACTTTCCAATAACTGACCCACTCCTCCTTAAACAATAGAAACAGCCTGTTGTACATCGTTAGTTCTCTAGAAATATGATGGCTGTTCCTAACAACAAAAAGAACAACTGAATCTGATTAGTTGAACTGGAAAGCTTGCATTCTGTGTTTCGTGACAATGATGAAACACTTAAGGAAAGTCTCTAATCTTTAAACCCTGATTGGAGAAAATTGTAACTGTAACTTAGCACAGGTGTTTGTGGGTTTTGTGACTTATAAACCCTTCAGCCTGGGCTGGTGGTTGCGCAAGCCTTTAATCTCATCACTCGGGAGGCAGAAACAGGCTGTGAATTCGTGAGTTCTGTGAGTTTGAGGCCAGCCTGGGCTACAGAGTGAGTTTCAGAACAGGCTCCAAAGCTACACAGAGAAACTCTGTCTCGAAAAACAAAAACAAAACAAAACAAAAACTCAAAAAACAAAACAAAAACCCACTTCAGTCCCTGCTCTGGGCTGCCAGGAGAAGCAAGGCTCCGGAGTCCTTGTCCTGCAGCCCTGATCATCATCAACCCTGTTCACCTGGTGGTTTATTAAAGACTTGGCTGTTTCATGAGCCCATAACTGATGTCTCTCTCCTTCCTCGTGGTGCACAGCAGACATGGTGTTAACAACTGTCCCTCTAGATCACCTTCTTACTCAAAGCTCAGGATTTCTCTCCAAAACAGCTTTGTGAGGGAAATGGTGTTTAATTCAGCTGTGCTGCCCATGTTATCACAATTCTTTAAGTTTTGTGTGGCCTTGAATTCACTATGTAGACTGAGCTGGTCTTGAATGCCCAAAGGTCAGCTTGCCTCTGCCTCTCAGGGCTGGAATTAAATGTGTGTACTACCACACTGTCTTATTTTTATCTCTGCTTGAATTAAGGACACTTAACAACTTCAGTGTTCTCCATCTGAGATCTTTGGCATCCAATTTCTTAAAATTATTTATTTATATTTCGTTTTTGAGACAGGGTATCTCTCTGGCTGCCCTGGAACTCACTCTGTAGACCAGGCTGGCCTCGGATTCAGAGATCTGAGTGCTTCTGTACTACCACTGCCTGATGAAATAATTTAATAAATATTTATTCTGGTAAGGTACAGTGGGGCACATCTATCTATCTATCTATCTATCTATCTATCTATCTATCTATCTATCTATCTATCATCTATCTATCTATTTATTTTGGTTCTTTCCAGACAGGGTTTCTCTGTGTAGCCCTGGCTGTCCTGGAACTCGCTTTGTGGACCAGGTTGGCTTTGAACTCACTGAGATCCTCCTGCCTCTGCCTTCCAAGTACTGGGATTAAAATCATGTGCCACCACCGCCTGGTGGTGCACACCTTTTTAATCCTACCGTTCGGTTTGGTAGAGGTGTTTCAGGACTACATAGTAAGACCCTATTATGTGTATGTGCTTGAGCCTGAGTGAGTGTAGATGAGATCGTGCAACGTGACAGCTGAGTACTGAATCTGGTAACTCAGAAAGAGCAGCCTCTTGAAATGATTTATGCTGTAACAGGTAACCGGCTAACGCGAAGACGGACTAAATGGAGACTCGCTGATTTTTTTCATTGTTATTTTTAAATTTTATGTGCACTGGCGTTTTGCCTGAATGTATGTTTGTGTGAGGATGTCAAGTCCCCTAGATCTGGAGTTACAGACAGTTGTGAGCCGCCACGTGGGTGCTGGGAATTTGACGCGGGTCCCTTGGAAGAAGTGTCATTGTTCTTAACCGCTGAGACATCTCTCCAGCTCTTCGATGCTGATTTTTGCGGCGCTCCTCTCTGGGGTAGGCAGGGTCTGAGCCTAGGGAAAAAAAAAAGAAAAGCTAGTGTGGAATGAGGCGGGGCCTGAGGACACAAGGTCGATGGGCGAAATGGGCGTGGCCTGCGGGGGAGGACCGTGCAATACGCCTGCGCAGCAGTGCTGTACTCCCCCCCTCCCGTAGGCCCTCGCAGACCGACGCGTTGCTGTGACGTAGTCTTGCGGCCCTGATACGGAGTGGGCGGGGCCGGAGAGGGTGACGTAGTGTCGGCGGGCCGAGGTGGGAAGTGGCCGGCGCTGGCGATTTTGCGCACTCCGTGTGCGCGGCCGTGCGACCCTCCGGTCTGCCCTCGTGGGCCGGCGCACCGCTGTGACGTAGTCGTGCGGGCGGTCCCTGATGCTGTGGCGCCCGCTGGTCGGGCTGGCAGTGGCCGCCCTCGGTCGCGCCCCTGCGGACGGTGAGTGCGCGGTGCTGCTGATGGCTGGCTGCCCCTGGAAGGAGCGGGACTTGCGGCAGCGTGCTTCCCTTGCGCGCCGGCTCCAGTGACCCCTGTTCTTGTGGGGACGCCTGGCGAACGTGTTTTCCGGGTCCCCAGAACGACAGGGATAGGCACGCGGAGTTCCAGCCGCCAGCAAACCCGCGCAGCCTGTGCCCAGCCGGCGCTCTTCCTCGGCGCCCTGCCCACCAGGCTTCCCGGGCAGGCTCAAGCACCTTCTTCACCCTCCCGCCGTTGCCGGTGCTGGACTTCGGTGTATGCAGGCCCTCCTGACGCCTGGGTGTGAATATTGGGATTCGGCTTGCTCCGGGTCCGGGCTCTTAAAGCCACCTTTGGGCTTAATATTCCCAGGCATCATTTTATCCAACGTGGAAGGGGGCGGGGAAGCGGCCTCTGAGTGAGAAGAAGGCTCGTTCAGGTGGTGGCTGGAGGAGCAGGTGACATTAGCCACGTGGTATTGGAGGAGAGAGGGAGAAAGCAAATAAATGACTGGTCAGTCTCGGTTGGGGTCCAAGGAGAGAAGGATGAATGAGGTTTGCTTCTGTGGGTGCTCCTCCAGTTCACCTTTCGGGGGTCATAGGTTAGTTATGGGAGCTACCACTAAGGCGGTTTCCTGTTTGGCACTAAGGAGCAGAATTTCCTGCTATTCTAGCTCGTCTCTACCTATTTTACCCCTGCCTTCACCTATTAGGCTTTACGCCCCTTTGGATGCTAGCTACATCAGCCATTGCTGCGGTTTGCCTGGCCTTCTTTGGTGCGGCGCTGGGTCTTTGTTAGGAGGGGTAGAGGGGGACGAGTAGTTTTCTGGAGTGGTACATTTGAGGCAGTATATTCTGTTCAGCCACTCTTAAACTTTCTCTTCTGTCTTGGCACATACAAGATGTCCAGGCAACATGTTGGGGTAATGGGACGAAGAGGCAGGAGGGGTGGGAAGAGAGCTCTGGCACCAAAGGAAAGGTAGAAGGAGGGTGAGCTCTCGGAAGGCAGCTGTAGGCAGAAGGCTTCTTGCAGCATCCCTGATGACTCTTCTGGTTGGGCCTCAGTCTTCCCTGCCCCACCCTATCCCATTCTCCCTGATCCTGAATATGCTGGTCCTCAGTTTCCCCTGGCCTTGCCTGCAGCAGACCTCAGTCTCCCCTGCCCTGCCATACCCACCCCCTGCCTACATGTACTGGGCCTTAGTGTCCTTTGCCCTACGTACCCCGCCCCACCCCCGTTCTCCCTGGTCCTGCTGGGTGGGCCTCATCCACCCCTCAGACTTCCCTGATCCTCTTTCCTTAGTTTCCCTTCTACACAAGCCAGCAGAAGACAAACCCTGAAACATCCTAGGTCTTTCCATTTTACTCTCCTTGGGTTCCGAACCCTTTTTTTCTTTTATGTTCACTCTGCCTCGTAATTATGGCATCCAGGACCCTGTTCAAGATTCAGCGTGTTTTTTTTTTTTTTTTTTTTTTTTTTGTCCTTGATGGGAAGAGACACAATCAGAGATGAGTATAGTGCCAGGAAGGTGCAGCAGCCTGTTCATGGCTGGCTGCTACTCCTCCAGACTTCCTTGGGAGGCCGTGGTACATCCATGTGGCTCAGGTAGAAGAATCAGAAAGAAAATGCTTTGGTTGTTCTTGCTGCTGCTGTTGGAAGAGGCTCCTAAATCGTGGGGGTTTCAGGGCTGGGATGTGTCACTTACATCTGCCTAATGTTGTTCGTGTCTTCAGCTGTCAGGAGGGATGTGGTGACTGTGATGGATTTCAAGCCCTAGTGACCCTAAGGTAAAGACAGGAAGAGGCTGTGTAGGAAGTTGTGCCTGGAGAATATTCCAGCAGAGCATGTCCCTCCCAGTGCTCCTGTGGAAATCACTTGCAGCTTGACTTGTCTTACAGTTAGGGTTTGGGGCTCTTTGTCAGGTAATTGAAGTTTGGGACTGGAAGAGTGGAAGAGATTGGGGTCCAAAGGTTCTTCAGTGGTCTCCCCAAAGGAACTTGCCTCTGAGCAGCACACACTTCTGTAAAGGCGAGGGCAAAGACCAGATCTGAGTTTCTGACATTAGCTGTAGCCCTGTGTCGATGTAGTAAATGCCTGGTCACCTAGCTGCTGGTTAGAACCCCTCCATACGGCCCCTGCCAGGCCCCCACTGGGCTTGCTCTTGCCACTGTACCACATAGCTAGCTAGCCAGGGTCATCTGGTGTGGTCTGTGTAGATCCAAGCAAGCGTAGTGTCATAGAGGGTCACCAAGTCCTATCAAAGATCCATGAGCTGCATGTGCCAGATAACACCTACTGGCACTCTTCAGAACCAAGGTACCAGCAGGGTAGAGCTGGTGTCCTGTGTCTTCCTGTCTCTTGTGGTTCAGGCCCAGGAGGACAGAAGTTACACAGTGTGACTCCTGAGAGATTAGATGGCTCAGCAGGGGTGCAGTAGGGAGTGCAGGAGTCAGCTGTCGAATGTGTCTGCATGTGCATGCCAGTGTCCATCCTCCCCGTCTGATCCTGGCCCACAAGGTGTAGGGTTTTGTCAGGTGAGGGCTCCCACAATTGGCAGAAATGAGGATTCGAGGCTGGAATCTGGGTGATAACTAGCTCATCATTGCCTAGAGTTGGAAGCAGGGTGTATGTAGAGTGAGGGATGGGTGCAGGCTGCTCCATTGTCTAACGGGATGGCAGATCATCTGTTTCCCCCACGCTTGTCCCTCACTCATGTGCTCTTATTGGCTCTCCGACCTGGAATCCTTTTCCCAGAAGCTTTCTTATCTCATGCACTTTGGAGCATCTCTCTTAGCTTTGGCTCTTCCCTATTGTCATGGTACATGTTCCTCTTTGAGTCTCAGCTCTTCTGTTCTCAGTCTCTGGAGTACACCTGTGCAGTGAGCCTACTCAGCCCCACGGTGAGCACTGCATTGAGCTCCTTTTAAGCTCAAGGGAACCAAGAGCTCCAGACGTGGGCCATTTGGAGCGTGCAGATGCGTCTAGAACCCGTATTGGCAGCTGCAGGTCACAGCCCGTGACCATCACAGGGAGTTTGGAGCCAGCGCAGCACCTCAAGGCGCTCTCATCCTGCGTGCCTGATGCAGTAGGCAGAAGGGAAGGCAGCTTCGCAGGAGCTGGGCTGTGTGGTTTTGTAGTGCACACTCTGAGGCCGGGCTGTGATGGAAGCAGCAGGGGGGGGGGAGGGGGCTCGGTGACCAGGGAGGAGGGTACTTGTGGGAAGGTGGTGATGAGTTGTGGGTCAGGGGAATCCTGGAGCCCAGTCAGGAAATGGCGTACCGTGGTCAGTGTGATTGGGCTCATACGCCTTTGGGGGAGAGCCAGAAGGGAGCAGAATTTTATTGAGGCAGCACGGATGATACTGAGTGAGTTTCTCTAGGTCTCCTTTACTGTGTCTTTTTGATAGATGGTCCTATGCACTTCCCAGGGACGTGTGTGTGTGTGTGTGTGTGTGTGTGTGTGTGTGTGTGTGTGTGTGTGTGTGTTTTCTCAATATGCACGTGTGATGTGCGTGTACCATACACATAGTTCTTATGCTCCTGTGGGTGACAGAATACCAGCAACACTGCTTTTGTAAGATTACCTCATGGCCTACATTGGGGATTAAGAACACAAGACTTCTCTAAGCTGATGTCCTTCCTGCAGCCTGTGCCTTTTGGACCAGAAGCTGTGTGGGCCTCACCCTTAGAGGCCAAAGGTGTTTGGGTTGCCAGGCAACCCTTCCAGCTCACAAGTAGCCTCCCTGGTCTCCCTCTGCCTAGACCTCAGAAGAGAGCAGCAGCCCAGGTCTCAGCTCCTGTGCTGGCTCTTCCCCATCTCTCAGGGCATTCCGATGCTGCCCTGGTTATTTGGACAGGTGTAGGTCTCAGGAGCAGGACAAGTAACTTCCTTTTCCTTCTTGCACAGTGGAAGAACAGGGCTGATCTCTTTGCAGCCAGTGCAGGCAGGGGTGGGTGCCCCAGGGATTTATTGTTCAGAAGGGCGGGGTATGTGCTTGGCAGAGATTAGTCCCCAGTCCCTCGGTGTAGAGCAGCCATTGACTCTTCCCCGGCTACCCACAGAGGCTGCAGCACATCAAGTAGGTTGGTGGCATCCTGGGGAGGCAGGAGGGCCTTCAAAGACAGGGTCCTGGCTGTGTAAATGAGGGCCGCCTGCTCAGAGGCCAGGCTGGAGGGAGGAATAGGGGGTGATGTGGGGCTGGGTGCTTAGGCATGAGCTTGGGAGCAGGTGAGATCGGTCCTAGGGTGATGTTAGAAGAGCTTAAGGATAGGAGGCTCAGGCCCCAGATCAGACTGATGGAGGAGGTTTCTGCTGTGCTTTCATACCTCACACAGCGGCTTCTCCCTGGCAGCCCCTGGCAGCCCCTGGCAGCCCCTGGCAGCCCCTGCCTGCCCCATATGATCCCTGAGCTGCATTCACTTTCCCCTTGGGAGGCTAGGGGGCGCTGTTCCAACTCTTGGCAGCTGCTTGTCCTTTGCAGACAAGTCAGAGATGGTTGCATGTCTAGTGGGGAAGTTTCCCAAGCAGGTTTGAATTGAACAGACTTGAGGATGCTATGTTTGTAGGAACAGGGACAGGAAATTTCTATTTCCAGACTTGGAACTCGCAGTGGGCAGTGCCATTTATGGGCACCAAAGGCCAGGCTGCAGGTCAGATTCTGGAGGGCAGCCTATACGGGGTGGGACCAGTGAGTGCTGCATTGTCTGTTTCTGGGTCACTTGGCCTGTGGACATCCTGTTGGGTGTGGGTGAGGCTGGGTGTTGGAATCCTGTCTCTCTTCCTGCCCGTGTTTACCATCTTGCCAACTGACTGCTGCTGAGGAGGGTTCACTTTATATGGGGATGTTGCCCTTGGGAGTCCCTCATGCCTCTGCCTCCTATAGAACAGTGCCAGGGTACCAGTGAGGGCAAAGCCCCTCATGTCTGATGCCCCTCCTCTCACAGGCATGGCAGGACCGAGGCCAGTGGTGCTGAGTGGGCCGTCGGGGGCAGGGAAGAGCACCCTGCTCAAGAAGTTGCTCCAGGAACACGACAGCATCTTTGGCTTCAGTGTGTCCCGTGAGTGCCTCAGGACCCCAAAGGGCAAGGAGCTCAGAGGCTATCCCAGCATTGGACTACACCTAGAGTTCCCAAGTGCACCCACCCACCCTAGGAGATGTTCTCCTTAACCCCGTTACCCTCTCCCTTCCCAGGGCCTCCATCTAGAGTAAGCATCTTGGCCCCAGTGACCTCTTGAGATCTGCTCTGAGCTTTCCACTGGCTGTAAGCACCCCCTGCCGCTGTACAGCCAGAGGACTGAGCAGGCCTGCAAGGGGAGACCTCGGGTAGGGTGGAAGGGTTGGACATCCATCCCTTCAGTGTGTGATAGGTCTTTTTCTTAGATACTACAAGGACCCCACGACCTGGCGAGGAAAATGGCAAAGGTGAGCTGACCTGCTAACCCGAGGGTCTCAAGAATGAGCTGGGGGGGGGGGGAGAGAAGTATGGGGTTTGCTCTGTGCCTTGGCTGTAACAGAGCTCGGTCCCAACAGGAGAGCATCTTTTGCCTTTGGGTTAGTGGTTTGATTAGAGTCTGTGCACCATCAGAGTGAGGGCTGGACCTTCTGCCTGCCTGGTATATGGCAGGGGCATACCCCTTTCCCATGGAACCTGGCCATTTCTAGTCCCCCAGCGAGGACAGCCATAGCAGTCCTGTGTAGGATGGAGAGAGGTGCCAGGCCAGGCAGGTCTGGGCTTTGGGTATCCTCTGAAAAGCCTTCTTCCTCCCCAGATTACTACTTTGTGACCAGGGAGATGATGCAGCGTGATATTGCAGCAGGGGACTTCATCGAGCATGCTGAGTTCTCGGGGAACCTGTACGGGACAAGGTGGGCTAAGTTTGGTGTGGGCCCGGGGTCATGGATCAGGGTAATCCCAGAATTGTGGCAGAAGGAAGCTCTCCAGCCTGTCCTCTCTGTCTTATGATACCCTTTCAGTCTCCTGCCTAGACTGGGATGGCTTGCTTTCCCCCTAGTCTCTGAGCTTAGCTAATAGGCTCCAGGGAACAGGCAGGCCCAGTCATGTCCCAGGCTCATCTGTCCTTAAGCCATCCTGTGTGGCAGGAGCCACGTGAGATAACCTTACATAGGAAAGGTAGGCAGTGATGGGTAGCTCAGGCCTGACCAAAAGCCCAAACTTTGTTGGCTTTTGGCTGCAGGACAGGTACAAAGAGCTGTGCTGTGAGATGGCCTGACAGAGCCAAGGGTGTGCTTGGATGTTCTGGGAAATACAGAGGATGCTGGGTTCACCTGAGCCTCTGCTCTACCCAGGCCAGGCCCAGCATGGGCCATGGGGAGGAGGGGACTGAGCCTTAAGAGGCTACCAAGGTTCAAGGTTTCACAGCCAATGCATGTATTCCTGAGGATGGCCAGCAGGCAAGAACTCATGTGGGCTTAAGGGCCAGGGTCTTCCCTTGGTCCCACCGAACATCTGCTCACTGCCCTTCCCTGCTCCCAGCAAGGCGGCTGTTCGGGCTGTGCAGGCCATGAACCGCATCTGCGTGCTAGACGTCGACCTACAGGGCGTCCGCAGCATCAAGAAGACTGATCTGCATCCCATCTACATCTCTGTGCAGCCCCCCTCGATGGATGTGCTGGTGGGTACCTGGTGTGGGAGACCCGCAGGGCAGGCCCCGAGACCTGGAGAATCCTGACCCAATAAAGGCCTGCATTTCAGGAGCAGCGACTGCGGCTGCGCAACACTGAGACCGAGGAGAGTTTGGCCAAGCGGCTGGCAGCTGCCCGGGCTGACATGGAGAGCAGTGAGTGCGGTCAGACCACTTACACCTCTCCGAGCGTGCGGCCAGGCCGTTCACCTGGAGACCGGGAGAACCGAGGCAAAGATGGAGGAGTCGCGGCCCTCTCTGCAGAGCCTTGGAGGGCCACACTCCTCTTCCGACTTGAGAGTGTTGTGGGCATCTTTCTGCAGCTGGGCTCTTGCTTCTGGGTCTGAGCTTGGCCCGCATGCAGACACCGTCCTTGAGACCTTTTGCTGTTACCCTGTGTGCATATGGCAGCCTGCCTGTCACAGGCAGTGCCAGTTCTCAGGAGAGGCCTGGGGAGGGGGCAGTGGTCCATATTCTAGTACTCAGAACCTGATG